CATGGCCCAAGGTCTGTCCCCTGGAGTCTGGCCTTCAGTGGCCTGGAGTCTGTTTCCGCATCTGTAAGGTGGACCCTGGTCCACCCCACTGGCAGGCAGCTGAGTGGATGGAGGTAAGGGCTGTAAAAGCCCCCTCCCCCCAAGCATGTTTCTCAAGAGGATGTAACTTGTTCATTGTATCCTTGAAACTTGGCACAATGTGGTACAGATAAGATGATCTACTTTCTATAGAAAACTATTTTTATCATAATTATGGTTACTATATTCCACATCACATTATATATATATATATATGTATATATATCTTGAACACAGCAGGCTACTCAGGCATTTCTGCGATTTTAACTATGGCTCTATCAAACTCCCAGCTCAACCAACTGCTTTGGGAGTTTTAAGTATATTCTACTGAAGACGTGCTCGTCACTTAAACTTCTTTTTGGAAAATAACAGATTAATACAGCTGGTAGTTTTAAGCACTTAGAACTCAACTATCGGGTAATGGTAAGAAGGAAGACTAGTGAACAAAAGGCAAACCCAATATAACATAAATGTGTCTACTTATCATGGAAAAAGATCACTTAAGAAAAAGGTCTACTTTCTACAAACACAATAGAAAAAAAGTATATGCTTTAGTAACCAACCTGAACTAACTCTATTAGTATCCTAGTACTTACGGTTACATGACCAAAAGGTTAAGACAGTGCAGTCTATGTAATGTACTTATACCTCAGCTGAGAAAGCCAGTATTTAACCATACAGATCTTATTTGCATCATTTGGCTTAACATCTCTCCAACTAAGAGACCTTTCATTAGGAGGCATTATTTCAGAGAAATGAACTTTTAAAATGCGTAGCTCTTAAATTCTTAACTGTGTAGTTCAGCTATTATTATGTAGGCACAACATGTCTCTATTTTCAGAGTAAAAAATCCACCACAATCTAGTTATAGTCAGGTCTTTATTTAAAAATCTCATCTGCCAACTTAGCGTTTTCCACCAACACGGGGAGCAGAAACCTTCACAGGCTTCACAATCTTTTGCTTAGGTGCTGCCTTTGTGGGAGCCTGTAAAAAGATATTGTGTGGTATTATTCCATGCAACTTTCTTTTTAATCACCCCTCTCTTATGTTCAATGTGGGATACTTAATTGTATCCTAACAAAAAGAGGACATTATTTTTGTTAGTCATATAGGACCAATATTAATGACCCCGTTTTTTTGTTTTTACTATAGTTATTTAAATTGGTAACATTGAGAAAAGCTGTGTAAACTCTATTATTGAAAACTTTTCTGTTAATTTAAAATTTCAAAATAAACTTTAAGAAACAAAATACCCAGGAACCAGTTATGAACATCATTTCCATTAGAGCCTTGCACTGAATTCTTTAAAAACTTGAAACTCTTTTATTCACCACAATTTGGATTAAAAGTTTTCCCATTGTTTTAAATAAGGAATCCAAGACAATCCCACAATTACCTTAGCAGCAGCCATTGCTGTCTTTTTAGATGCTTGCTTAGCCTTTTTTGCTTCCTTGGCAGCCCTGTAGGGTTAAAAATAACTTAAGACAAAGTGCTTTACTCCTTAAGGATACAGTTTTTTAACAAGGAGCTAGACTGTTTTGGAAAAGTAGAATTATCATACTCCTTCCCCATCCCCAATTATTGTTAGGATAAATCCAAAGGGGTTGTCAATATTATTAACCACCAAGTCAGTTTTACATTTTTAGAAATTGTACAGCAGCATTCATTGCATGTAGAAATTTCAACAAATCACTTAGACTGTATTATAAACTTCTGATTATTAAACTTAAATAATGCTCAAAGCTAAGGCTTCCTCACCTGATAGCTTGCTCTCTTTGAGCTTTCCTAACTTCAGGTTTCTGGTTCCTCTTCGCCATTATATCAGCAAGAGAGGCACCAGTGATGGCCCTTTGGAATTTGACTGCGCGGCGAGTTCTTTTCTTTTGAATTTCTTCCTACAAAACAAAAAGATGGGGAGGACACTTATGAACCTTGCTTCATGAATCTGGGTGAGAAATAAATTGTCTGAGGCAGGGGAAATGAAGTTTTTTAAGATTAGTATTTGTCCTAGTCTGTTTGGACTGCTGTAACAAAATACTAGACTGAGAGGCTTATAAACAACAGAAATTTATTCCTTACGGTTCTGGAGGCTGGAAGTCAGGGTACCCGCATTATTAGGTGAGGACTCTCTTCCTGCTACAGCTATATACCACGTGTTGGAAGGGGGGGAGAGGAGCTCTTTCCTGGACCTTTTTATTAAGGATAGGTTAAATCATCTATTACAAATCTTGGCCATTTTTTTACTACAAAAAGTGAAATTCTAAGGAAGTTAACTGGATAGTACTTTAAAAGTAATTAACAGGCCCATCCATTTACATTAGAGAATTTACTTTAATGTAAATTAAACAACTCACCTACTTTGTTTTTCAAAGTACTGTCACTGGGTGAAATAGTCAAATTAGAAAATCATATGAGAAAGCCACCATGTGTTAGGGGATGTCTGGGAATCAAGACAGAGTACAATTCAAACATTTGCTGCAGATTCTATTTTAAAGACCTATACTATAGTGCTTAGGAGGAAAAAGATCTTGCAGTGTGCCTCTAAATCCAAGAAAAATTAAAATAGACTTGAAGAACTGTTTATCAAGGCAGGGAGACATAAATATCTTTAAATTTTTAACAGAACACATGGAAAAAACAGGGAACATCTGTGGTTAACTAACTTTTTACCGAGATGAAATTATAGAAAATTCTACTTTGCTTGTTTACATTTTAAAAATATTTTTCTTATTGTGGTAAAATACACATAACATCAAGCTGATCATCTTAAAACATTTTTTAGTGTAAAATTCAGTGGCATTAAGTACACCCACAATTATGTGCAACAACCACTATTAATCTCCAGAACTTTTTCATTATCCCAAACAAATTGCACCCATTAAATAATAGCTCCCCCCGCACTCAACCTCTATTTTTTGTCTTTATGAATTTGCCTACTTTAGGTACCTCATAAAAGTGGAATCACATAAGCTGGCAGCTTTTTAAGGCTGAATATTCCACTGTATGTATATACCACATTTTGTTATTCACAAATCCACTGATGGGACATTTGGGTTGCTTCCACCTTTTGGCTATTGTGGATAACAGTGTTATAAACATCAGTGTACAAGGTGCCTGGGTAAGTTCCTGCTTAAAATTCTCTTGGGTATATACTTAGAAATGGACTTGCTGGATGTTGCCAAACTGTTTTCCACAGTGCCTGTGCCATCTTACACCAACAATGCACAAGGTTTCCAATTTCTCCACAACCCTCACCAACATGCAATTTTCCACCTTTAAACAAATTTCTCCTTCCTCTGAACTCCCATAATACCGAGTAATGTCTTTCACCCAAGAGATGCTTACTAAATATTCACAAGCCTAAATATTCCTAGTTTCCTGCATCCTAATGCTACTGCCATGGCACTCAAACCTTTTTTCAAAAATCTCCATCAAGTAAAAGAGCACTTCAAAAAACACACCCAGTTTTGAGAAGTCAGTGGAGTCCTGAAAACTCCACTGAAACTCCACTGATACCTATGTTAGGAATAATCCTATAAATATAATAAAAACCAAGTCACCATAATAATTACTTAGTTTTCATTTACTGTAACACCTTCAAGTTTTCCAAGGTGCCCCTATAACCCAAGCATGTTTAATGTAATTTACCTGACTTTGGCAAAGGGATGCTTTCAAATTTCAACCTGGCATTTACTGTGAGAATAAGATGATTAATCGTTTTCGCTTCACTGTTTGATGACTTGCAGTTTAAGAGCACTTTCACATACTGTCCCATCAGGTGTTTTTACAGAGCAGCATCTGATGATCAGAGTTTAACAAACTTGAGAGCGAGCCCCAAGACATCAAAGCTCATTTCACTTACCGACTGTCCCTTTTTGTGCTTTCTTCTGTAGAGGACAGTCCAGTTTATCTGTCGAGGATTCCTCTTGGAAAGGAATGCCGATTCGCATTTTGCATTAAGAAATTGGAAAACCTGTCGCGACAAATTCAAAGCATGAAAGTTATCTACTCAACTATACAAAGTAGAAAAAGGCTGAGTTTGAAATCCTCAACCAACTAATTCATAGTTCTGTACTCTCATTTTACTAAACTGAGGCCCACAGAAACCAAACGGCTCGTGTTACACGGCTGGCCGGTAACTAACCGGGTGGCACCACGAGTATCTTTGCATTTGGTCCCGTCTTTTAAGAGCCAGACCAAATGCAACTCCCGCCGCAGGGGAGGGCGGGGCGTCACATTCTGGGAGGCATCTACTTCCGGTCCCTCCCGGCATTCCCAGCGGTCCTGTGTTAATAAACTAGCTAGCATTTATGGCCAATTTCCCTCACACCGGGACATTCAAGTTCCACAAACTCCTGATTTCCGACCTGATTCACACTAGATCAAAGCTCAAAAACGGTTCACTTAGAGGCTTCTGATCCCGACAGCCACCGCACACAGGGTCCCTGACAGGGACCAAGAAGGATGCGGTAAACGAACCCGAATTAGACCCGTCATTCCTCTTAGGAACACACATCGCGTTTAGCCGACGCGGCCTCTCACCTTCCCGTCGGTCCTGGCGTAGCGCCTCCCGTGTCCGGGATAGATCTTGTAACCACTGAAACTGCACAGCTCGACCCTGTAACGACAGTGAAAGCCCATTAGGGAGGCTGTCTAGGGCAAGGCCAAGCCATGTGCGGGACGCCGGAGAGGCCATCTGCCCGCGATGGAAAAGGATTGGGATTCAAAGCTCTTGCTTACTTCATGGCTGCAGCTGCCGGAAAGGATGAAAGATGGTGAAGAGGAGCAGAGGATCATGGGAAGAGACCTTATAACCTCGGGAGTGCAATCTCCTCCCCATTTCCCTTCGGTAACGCGGGCGCTCGGCGATGACGTCACTCTCGCCCGCGACAGATTTGCGTTTTCGGAGCAGCCGCCCTCCTTCTGAGGAATTCTGCCGGAGGCGCGGAAGCTCTGGGGTTTGCGGGGTAGCGACGGCCACACCGGCCGGCTGGCGGTGGGTCTCGGAGTCATTTTCTTCCACAGTCAAGTGTCCTAGAGCCGTCATCTTGCTTCAGGAACGTGAACCCTCCCTCTTATTTTAGTGACCCACAAACGAATACCCCGCAGGTAAACCTTTTTTGCTCTCCGCGTTGGCCCGTTTCCGCAGTCAACCACATTACATTTTAATTGTTTTGCAATATGCAAAAAAGTAATGGCATCCGTACTGCCCCCCCGCCGTGCGAGTCCAGTTGTGCGTGACGGCGCTTTGCGTTGATGGTGATGTACAGTCGTTGAGCGCTCTGTGCCAGGACGCCTGCTAAAGCGTTTACATGCGTTAGTTCGTTCCGTTTACTAAGCCCTTGGTAAGTAGGCGCCAGAGCCCCGCAAAATGACGGCTGCCGTCGGGGAAGAGCTAGGGTGGGAGGCCCAGGGGCCCATGGCTGCGCAGAGAGGCGAGCCCTTCCTGGAGGCCGGAGCCGGGAGGCCCGGCCGGCCCCGGGAGGTCGGTGCCGCAGCCTCTCGAGCCCTGCTGCGATGCTGGACTCTGCGGCATCTGTGATGGATGGGGCGTGGCAAGCGGCAGTGCTAGGAAACGTGCAATGATTGGTTTATGCCGTCTGCATAAGCAGCTTACCCCTAAAAACATTCTGTAAGTAGGTACGTGAAGACGTTTGGAAAGTCCAGTGAGGTGGCTGATTAATGCTAAGAAAGCGGTACAGTTATGGTGGAATAGTCTCAAGAATGACTTACCAGAAATTTGAATGGAATTGAAAAGCAAAGAGGAAGAATTTGACAGCCTGGCTAACTCTGACCAGCTGTTGAAAATACCTGGTATACTTTGGGAAGAAATTGTGTAAATAGACTATAGGCAGTTGAATGCCTCAAGCATCCGTGAACTTCATCAACTCTGACGTTCATCCCACTCTTTGTTTTAAGTCACTGCTGATTAAAGATTTGATCATTAAAAAAAAATTTAAAAATCCCACCCAGGAATAGTCAGTCCTGGCTTCTACAAACTCCCAAACAGGGCTGGATGTGTGTAGAGGGTAGAGCCAAGATTTACCTGCAGGAATTTGGTTCTGTTTGCTCCACAGAACCCCAGCATTTATAGTTTCTTTCCAGGCACTTTACAAAGATTTTGTTTTATTAGCCTCCAAAATTATGTTTGGCTGAAGTAGCTCTGTGGAGGAAAAGTAGGTATTAAGGACTTTAGCCCTTTTACTCTTGAGCTGACATTTCATGGCTCTTTGTAACACATTATGTGTGTCACACCTCAAACCAAACACTCCTAGAATAAGAAGAAATGATAAACTCCTAAAAGCATTTTACATAGTGGCATAAAGCACAAGCTTACAACACTATCCATAAATTTTCGCTAACTCTATCCTTACACTGTCTTTTATAGGCAAAAGGCCCAGTTGTATTCCATTCCCTTTATTTATGGAGCATTTCTGAACCAAAGTTGGTGCTCTGCTCAGCTCTATATACCTCCTGAGAGCAGAGCATTCTTCCCTTCACTGCTTCATCTTTAAACATACTTCATCTGCTGTATTTAATTCCTGTGGTTGCTATTACTAATTACTACAAAATTAGTAGCTTAAAAAATTGGAAATGTATTCTCTTTCAGTATGGAGGCCAGAGGTTTAAAATCAGTATCGCTGGACTGAAATCCAGGTCTCTGCTCCCTCCAGAGGCTCTGGGGCAGAACGTTCCTTGTTGTTCCAGTTTCCACCCAGACAAACCCTCTTGAATTCTGAACCCATAGAACCTGTGAGATCATAAGTGTTTATTGCTTTAAACCACTATGTTTGGGAAATAATTTGTTAACATAGCAATAGATAATACAGGAGGTTAAGGCAGTTGTGAAAATGGGAACTTAGTGAATAGTAGTATCATTTGTCTTAAGACATACAAGGAAGGAGCATGTTTGTTGGGGAAAGGGTCAGTTTTGTAAAGACCATTTTGAGATGCCATATGACCATTAAGGTAGAACTGTGTAGTGGAAGTTAAACAAGATCAGAGGAGTTTAGAATTGGATATATTTTTTGAGTCATGCACCTATAGTGGTAAATAGTGGAATATGTGGGATAACATCACCAGTCACAGCCTGGCTTATCTGAAAGCATTTACTGACACAGAATTTAGGGTGCAAGATATTTATTAGGGATCAAGTCCTGTGAAAGAAAGGGGGAGAAAGCAGTATTAGGCAGAAGAAGGTAAATACATTGCTGGCCCAACTAAACCTCAGCCCTGCTAGGAGCTCTGGAACGATTACTGCCTGTCAGACTATAATATGTTGGGCTAAATGATCAATCCTCTATGTACCCCCCATGTTGCTTAGTCACCAGATGTGAGTTGCCCCAGTCATGATCTAAGGGAGGTGGTTCTCAGCAGCTGAGCCAGATCCTAGTGACAGCTGGAGGATGCTGCTGCCACGATGCCCATTTTTAGGCAGCAAGCCCTCACTTGAAGAGGGATCTAGATAGTCCATCTCTGTGTTTACCACCCCTAGAAACCAAGTAAGTACATTCAGAGTGTTTTCTTACAATAACTTTCTTTTCTCAGGTGTAGGAGGGATCTTGCCTTTTTAATAGTCTCACCAGACTTCTCAGCAGGCTGGTCAATCCCAAGATTCTCCGGCATTGACTTCAAGGAGGGCTTTGAAAGCAATGCCCAGTAACTAGGTTAGAAAAATTACTAGGTTTAAAAATTATACAGCATTAAAAATTATGAAACTTTCTTTAAAATTATGAAGCATTATTAAAATTAAAAATCGTGAAGTATTCTTAAAAATTATGAAGCATTCTTTTAAAAACAATACATTTAATCAAGTCTTCATGATACCATTATAATTAACCTAGTTATTAATAACAGGAAAGAAGCAAAGGGAAGATAGATGCATGCCCAGTAAAGCTGGGAGGACTAGCTAAGGTACTTGCCTGTCAATCACACCAGGGAAACAGGTCATTGGTCAGAATGGGCGTGGCCACTGCAAGGGTGTGAAATTTGGGATCTATAATCTCCTGAACAAAGGAGTTCGCTGTCTTGGTCTCTCTTGGTTCCTCTTGGCATGTTGCCCTTAACTCCTGACTTTCAGGGCTTTCTCGCTTTTGCTTCCTGGCGTTTGCTCACGTGGCCATGTTGACCTCCACACAAAACAGACTAATGGACTGTAACTAGCCTGATGCTGAACTGGATCTGGCTGCAACATGGAACAAAAACTCTGGACACTACCTTTGCTTTTAGCTCTACTGAACCCCCAACTACACTTCTATGACTGGAATGGGACTCTGGGAACCCAGGGATGTAATTCCATGCAAATAAAAATCATCCTCCCTTGTGAGTCTCAGAAAACTCTTTTTTTTCTCAAGATATCATAAGGACTCCACCCCCAGCACTCAGTGGGGAAAGGGACACCCCAATTTCCCCAATAACATATCTAACTACCAATTACGTGAAATATAGGGGACAGAGGGACATGTGAAATGTCTCCTCAGGGTTGCAATCTGCAAGACTTAATTTGTTCAATAGCCTGTAAGTGGAGAGAGGGACAGAGAGACAGAGTACTTATGGATAGGACTAGCTGCATAACTAATTTTTAGGCCCCGGTGTAATTTTCAGGATCCCTAGTGTGGGGTCCTTTTTACCCAGAGCAGGAAAAGTATGCTGTTAAAGGTACTAAAATATTAATCTATTTCCTTTTTTCTGCAATCTGTATCTTGACCTTTAACAGTATTTTTTTCATTTGCTAGTAGGAGTGGGGAAGAGAGGTTAGCAATCTCCTTTCACCATCATCCTGGCCCAACCTGCAGCAAACTGGCAATACCTTGGGATGTGGGTAAGCATCGAGCTGCTGGCGGAATGCACGGTGGTGCTGCCAGCTTTGGAGAGAGAGAGGGAGAGGCGGACGCTGGCTTCAGTGGACTGCAGAACCCAAGGCTCTCTAGGACCTGTTCCTAGAAAGTGAGGAGGCCCCAGGAAGTAGGCCCACAGGGGAGCTGAGGCTCCAAGCCCCAAGCGTGTGCTATCCTGTCCCACTGTACTTCACTTTCAAATCACAGATTCAAAGGGACAATGATTAAGACTTTGAAGATAGCGACTATAGAGCATTAAACCTCAAGTATGGGGTGCTCCTGAGCGCAGGGCCCTGTGTGAATACACTGGTTGCACAACTTTAAGCTGACAATAGATGAAAAGAATTTAAGAGCCCCCTCAACCAATTGCAATGTATGGGTCTTATTTGAGGTCTGATTTGAACAAGCTGGACAGGCAATGGGGTAATTTGAATAAAGACTGAATTTTTTACTTTGTTCACATGTAATGTTAATCCTTTAGGTGTTATCATTAAACCGTGGTTATGTTAAATTTTTAAAAGTTTACCTTTTCATCCCTGGTTGGTGTGGCTCAGTTGGAGCATCATGCATGCACCGAGGAGTTGCAGGTTGGATTCCCAGTCAGGGCGCATACCCAGGTTGGGGCAGTCAGGTGCATACAGGAGGCAACCGATTGATGTTTGTCTCTCACATCAGTGTTTCTCTCTCCTTCTCCCTTCTCTCAAATCAATGAAAGCATGTTTTGAAGGGCGAAAAAAAAGTTTACCTTTCCAGATACATACTAAATTTAAAAAAAAAAAAAAATCTTTATTGATTAGAGAGAGAGGAAGGGAGCAGGAGAGAGAAACAGAGTTGAAACATCAATGATGAGAGTCATTGATTGGCTGCCTCTCGCACACCGTCCGACTGGGGATCGAGCCTGCAACCCTGGCATGTGCTCTGATCAGGAATCAAACCACGAGCTCCTGGATCCTAGGTTGATGCTCAACTGCTGAGCCACGCCCAGCTGGGCCATACTAAATATTTACAGATGAAACAGCAGGATGGCTGGCATTTGCCTTAAAATAATGTGAGGACCCGGCCAGCGTGGCTCGGTGGTTACACATCAACATATGAACCGGGAGGTCATGGTTCGATTCCCAGTCAGGGCACATGCTGCATTGCAGCTCGATCCCCAGTAAGGGGTGTGCAGGAGGCAGTCAATCAGTGACTCTCTCATCATTGACATTTCTATCTCTCCCTCTCCCTTCCTCTCTCTGAAATCAATAAAAACATATTTAAAAAAAATAATAATGTGAGGGAACGTCCAGTAGGTAAGTGCATGGATGAAAAAGTGATTGACCAGCAGTGGATAATAGTTGAAGCTGGGCCTTGGGTAGAGGAGTAGTCTCCATATTGTGATGTACTCTTTTAATTACTTTTCTGTGGTAAAAAGTTTCAAACAATGATAATCTGCTTTGGATGAAAGATTTAAGTCCCTCAATTCATTCCTGAAAAATAGGAAAAGTAAGCACCACCTGTATTATAATGTAATTTTAAAAATTTAAAGAACCCACAAAAAAAACTTCATACTGGAATGTTTATAGCATCTTTATTCATAATAGCTACAGGAAACAGTCTAGGTGCCCCATCAATAGGTGAATATATAAGCAATCTATAACATATATACTTATACAGCGGACTACTACTCGGGAATAAAATGGAATGAATTATTGGTTTTACACATCAACATGAGTTCCAAAACTATTACGTGAAGTGAAAGAAGCCTTACCAAAAAAGTCTACACTGTATGACTCCATATATATCAAGTTCTACACTGTGCACAACTACTCTGTGGTGGAAAAAGGAAAATCAGAACAGTGGCTGCTTCTGGGTGGGAGAGGAAGGATTGAATGGGGAGGGGTGTAAGGGAACTTTCTGTGTTAATGGCAATGTTCTATATTTTTATGGATTTAGGATTAATTACATAGTTTGTCAGAATTCATAAAATGTTCATGTAAGATTTGAGCATTTCACTGTATATAAATTTTACTTTAAAAGAAAGGAAATTGTGAGTAAATATTGAGCAGTAGTTAACAAAACGCTTGCTTAAATATAGGGGGGGAGGTGAACTGATGGGTTCTCAAAAAACAAGATGGGTGAAGGGATAGATAAGTAGAAGATAAAACAAGCATAACAAATGTTGATAAAAGAATCAAAGTGAGGAGTTTATGGGTGATCACTATAATAGTCTTTCAAATTTTCTGTAGGGAATTTTTTCATAACAAAATTTTGGGACGATAAAGGGAGCCATCTTCTGGAAGAAACTGGTATTACTGATGGGCTGAAAAAGGTAAGAAGAAGGAAGCGTGCAAGTAGTAAATATTTTAGGCTTTGTGGGCTAAGAGGCAAAATTATATAAGATATTATATAGGTATTTATATAGCAAGAGATAGAACCAATTTCCAAGTTCTCATTGATGAAATTTAAAATATAATAATAACATTGAGTACAAGTGTTTGTAAAGCAGGTCTACTAAAGAGAAGAATGAAATTCTTTTTGGAAAGGTGGGTAACATTTCTCTTAATTAGGGTGCACAGTTTATCCCCTAGCACCAAAATCAATTGCAGATGTTCACCTGTTAATCCTGATCTGTAATGAGAATTCACACATTTAATCTTTTACCCAAATTTAGTCTTTTCAAAAAACATGTCTTTATTGATTGCAGAGAGATGAAGGGAGAGGGGGAGAGAGATAGAGATAGAAACATCAATGATGAGAAAGTCATTGATCATCTGCCTCCTGCACGCCCCACACTGGGGATTGAGCCCACAACCCCGGTATGTGCCTTGACTGGGAATCAAACTACGATCTGAATCACAGGTCGATGCTCAACCGCTAAGCCACACCGGCTGGGCCCAAATTTAGTCTTTTCACCCACATAAATGCTGCCCAGTACTGAGATCAATCCAAGGGCAGGTGATTTAAATTGAGCATTTTAATCTCTTGGAAGGAAATTATAGAATTATATTAGATTATTCTCTGGACATTTTCCTTTTAGCATGTGAGATCCAATAATTTTTTATTTGAAGTTAAGTGAAAGCTGCTCAATGGCACAACTAAATGGGTCTTGAAATATGAAAATTTCCTTTGTATTTGCATTGAGATCTCTCTGAAATACTGCTAAAATTGGAGTTTCAGCTCGAAAAATATAACCACTGCAAATTTGTGTGAGAATGTTTTTATTGTTAAAATGACTTTACCACAGAGTAAATTTTGCATGTAAGCTCTGTGTTGTCTTGTAAGTTTAGGTTGAGTTCATTAAGAAGAATCATTGAATGATCACAATTAGCAGATTAGCAAAAATAAATTCTAAAGCCACCCAGTCAGTGTTCCATAATAGTGGTTAAGGGAGGTTCTTCTCAGGAAAAAACTTCAGTCTTGCTCAGGCCGATTTTGCTCAGTGGTTAGAATGTTGTCCCACAGACTGAAGGGTCCTGGGTTCAATTTCAGCTAAGGACACGTACCCTGGTTGCAGGCTCCATCCCCGGCCCGGTTGGGGAGTGTGGGAGAGGCAGCCAATCAGTGTGTCTCTCTCACATCGATGTTTTCTCTCCCTTGCACTCTCTCTGAAAAGCAATAGAAAAATTACCCTCAGGTGAGGATTAAAAAAAGCAAAACAAAAAACAAAACTTCAGTCTTGGCCCTGAGCTAGAAAACAAAACGTTACCACTGGTAAGTCATCAATCGCTGTGTATGCAGTAGGACAAGTCAGGATATTTAGCTGCTAATTCTGGCTCAGATATGTGGAGTGACAATAGTTACGTCCATGAGAGCAAATGAAGTTTATTGTTGACACTACTGGTTCAGTGACACAGGGTAGATTCAGATGTTCTCCACAAACTACCTGTTGATTGATAATACAGTACAATCATGTGATAACCATAGGATTTAAACTCCTTACATTTTCACAAGTGGAAATCCGTCAAAATAAGCCTGTTTTTGCTTACCTAAGCTGTAACATATCATAGCTGATTTCACCTTAGTTGTGTTGATAAGAGTTTTCTCAACTTCTTTTTAAATATTTTCACCTGTTGCATGCAGCCGTTTCGAAGAGGCTAATTCTTCAGTCACTCCAAACATTGACTCCTTGAATAAATAGCCACAGATGAGTAGTATCAATAACACCTGTCAACTTATTAAGTGCCAAGGAAAACCACTCAAAATAATTTGCCTTCACTAAATCATTTAAATTGACTATTGATGTTGTTCCCAGTGGCCTCAACACTTTAAGCAGCTGTTCACACCCAAATGATATCGTTATAATTAGCTACTTATTAATAATAGGAAAGGACCAAAGGGAAGGCCACACATTATAGGCATGTTATTTGGCAGCTTCACCAGGAAGCTGCAGCTTCACACTCCCCAGGGAACCATCAACCTACTCCCTGCAAAACATTGGGGGAAGGGGACTGCACAAAAGGAAGATAGATGCATGCCCAGTAAGGTTGGAGTGACATAGGGAAGGTAATTGTCAATCACACGTGGGGAACCATTGATTGGCCAGAAAGGGCGTGGCAACTGCAAAACATGAAAATCTGGGAATACACAATCCCCTAAACAAAGGAGTGATCTTTCTCTTGGCTCCTTGCATTCGCTCGTGTTTCCTCCATAGCCATGTGGACCCCACACGCAGTGGACTGATGCACTGCAGTGGGAAACACAAGCTAAGCTAGCCTGATGCTGGACTGGACCCAGCTCCAATGTGGAAAGGAAACGATGCTGGCTCTGATTTGAGCACCAGTTAACATTTCTATGACTGGACTAAGGGAAATGCGGCTTTAGAAACCCAGGGGTGTAATTCCACGAAAATAAAGTGTTAGATGGGCCAGGTACAGAAACCAAGGTACAGAAATCTGGGTACAGAGACTTACCAGGGCAGGAACCTATGGATGCCTAGCAAGGAGCAAAACTGGAAATACAAGAACCTTGTCCTAGGGTAACCTCTCCTTCATAGCATATTGTTGGTCATGCAGTTTAGACCCCCTGAGCTTTCCTCCTTAGAGATGACATCTAGGCCTCTGTTGTATTTCAGCTCCAGGCCCAGAAAAGCAGTGAAACCAGACAAGCGGCCCTGTGGCTGCCTCAGGACCAGCTGCATTGACTAATGACTTCCTGCCTCGGCACCAGCCACTCAGTGGAGACAACCCTGAAAGAGCACACCTGGAAAGGTGATGAATATTCTATTGAGACCCTCCCCTGAGACCTCCCCTAAGATTCCTGCCTGCAAGAGAGATAAATACGCTCAGGACAAAGGACCCTGGGAGCGCTTCACCCCCCAGGGGAGCACGCCAGTGCCATCTCCTTCCCCCTTCTTCCCTCCAAGGGGACCCCACGAGACTTGCAACCAGGGGAGCAATGGGCAGCAGCTGCTCATCCCAGGCTGACCCCCTGAACCTGTCTCCAAGGCCCCCTTTCTCTGTCCGACTTCTCAGCGAGCTAGAGCAGCCCAGCCTAGGTTCTCCTGTTGCTTCCTCTAAGCTCTTTCTCGTTTCACTGTCCCAGGTATATTTTTGCTGCCATCATGGACCCAATACCCTTTGGCTCAGTGCTGTGTAGCCCTTCCTTTTGGATCTCCCCACCCCCTTTTAATAAATTTAATTTTTCTGTATTCACCCGTCTGAGATGTCTGTTTAGCCTGCCCGCACACCGCCACCACCGACCCTAGCCTTTCATAAAGCTTTCTATTACATCTCCTCCTCCCGTGGAAATGCTCGTCCCAGCGGTAACCCAAGAACCCCACTTCCACGAGCAACTGGAGGAGACGAGACCCCCTCCTATCCTGGCTGAGGGTCTTAAACAGGTTTGTTTTTTTCCGATTACATTTCTTCAGCTCCTGCAATGAATCACCATTTAACCCACATGGCTAACAAATAAGCCACTTGGAAGCTTACTATGGCTGCAGCCTCAGTTCCTTCCTTTTTTCCAGTTCTTATTTTGCAAGGAAGTGTTACTGTGGTGAGATATTCCATTTAATTTGTATAACTTTTCTGACTGTTCTCTGTGACTGGCGGATACTGTGAAAACCTCCTGGTCGGGTAAAACATCTACTGTGTTCTTGTAGCGCAGACACGGGCTCAGAGCCTGACAAACACGCTGCTTTGCCGTCGGGTTTGATAAAGAAACAACCCATTTTTCATTGTATATTAAGGATGGAATATCTGAAGTCCACTTTCTTCTTTTTGTTTTGACATGACAGGTATATGCTGGTAATAAAGACAATGAGTGTGAGGGGAGGGTGCTGTGCACGGCCCGAGTGCTGCCGGTGACACTGACTGAGCTGTGGGGAGAGTGCCACACGCGGGCTCGGTCCCGAGTGCCCTGGGGCTGCCGAGTAAAAGCGCCACAGACCATAGTAAATAAGTACGGCTGTATTCCAGTAGTTTTATGCAGGCACACTCAAATTTGAATTGCATATCATTTATTTGATTTTTCCCCCAGTCACTTAAAACGTAAAAACCATGGTTAGCCGCAGGCTGTAGGAAAGCGGGGGACGGGCTGGTTTGGGCCCACAGGCCACAGTCTGCCAGCCCTGCTGGAGAACGTCTATGTAAAGCAGCCTTTTATTATTTCATTTGAGGGCACGGAAGGGAATTTGTATTTTAGTTTAAAGAGATTGTTATTCATATTCCTTTTGTCTTACAGACTTGGTGTTGTATTTAAATATGAAAACCTTAGGGCTTTCAAAGTTTAAAAAATACAGTTTCAGAAAAGAAAAGTTAACACGTATATTTGCATTCCTCAGCATATCAATGTACCTTGTATACATTTCTGCTGGATGTTAGCCTCTCTTAGCTGGAAAGGGAGAAAAGGTAAAAGGTTTTTAGAAGGTATGAGGCAGCCTGATGGGCTATAGAATTGTGCAGCTGAAACTGGTATAATTTTGTTAACCAGTGTCACCCCAATAAATTTAATAAAAAGGAAAAAATAAAAGGTATGAGACAACCAAAAATAGGTCACAGGGAAGTGTTCAAAAATATTACTTGAAAATACCAGTACCAAATCTGTGTACACTATATATCCATTTCTGTTTTTTAAAAATATAGGGAGGCAGGGGCTCTAGGTACATTCCCATCAATAAAAGGTTGAAAGGAAACACACCAACACTTTAGAAGTGACTATCTTGGGGTAGAGGGGTTATGTAAAACATATATATTTTTTTCTTTTTGCTTGCCTGTATTTTCTAAGATTTTTTACAATGACATTAAAAACAAACAAACTGATACATGCTACATTATTTGAAAATAGAAAATATATCTTGAAGGACAAAGAATACATCTAAAGATATATTTAGACTCTTTTGGAGATTATTCTTTGCAAATTAAGTTTGAAAACTTGTCTAACATTCTGTGCATAAGCGATTGTGTAGCAATGCTATTCCAATAATTCCTGTAGTTAGACCACTTGTATCAGCTACACTAGCATACCTGCCACATGAGTGGCACATAGTTCACCCATACTGTGAATTTTCTTTCTCTTCAGAGAAATTCTCTTCAGTATTGACAAATTTTTCATATCTCTAAACTGATGTTAATGGAGTCCCAAATGAGGTGGACGATCGCATACAATTACAGAATGAAGACTTCAGTATTTAAAAGCTACTTGAAAGTTGGTTACCCCTCCCCCCGACCTGAATTCCAGGATTCTCCAGAGAAACAGAATGAATGGGAGTGGGGTGTGTGTGTGTGTGTGTGTGATGCATATGAGGAGACTTACATTAAAGAATTGGCTCATATGGTTATGGAGGCTGGCAAGTCCAGAATCTGCAGGATACTGGAAGAGTTGATTGTAGATGTAGAAAAACTAACTCTAAAGTGAAGACAGAAGGGCAAAAGAACTAGAGTAACTGAAACAACTTTGAATAAGAACAAAGCTGGAGGATTTTAAGATTTATTTACTATAAAGTTACAGCAATCAAGACAGTATAGTATTTGCAAAGGAACTGTAACATAGACCAATATAACAGAATAGACTTTTCCTATAGGCAAGAGGAAAAAATTTAGCCATAGAAAAGAAATTTTAAAAAAGGAGTATCATTAATATAAATTTGGCAGCTGTATATAGAACAGAGTAAATTAGACTAGGGGCAAGGGGGCTGACTGAAATGTATATATTAGAGGCAAAAAGTTGTAGTGTCAATGGGCATACAAAGGAACTAAACAGAAGTTTTGAAGCAAAACACCCACAATAAACAACAAAAACCCCCACCCAAGTCTTGAAAAAGAAGGTGAAAAATGACCAAAATTCCAAAACTGTGAGACTGGTGCTCATCCTGATCAGAATCGTGATGTTGGAAATGCAGAGCGCATTAATAGAGATGAAAGGGATTCTCTGTTAGCATTGTATTAATTATTGAATTTTTAATGCACCAGACATTGCCCTAAACACTTGATATTATCTCATCAATTCTGACTATAAGCCTAAGAGATAGGTCCTAGCAATGTCATCTCTATTTGACATATAAAGCAACTGACTCAGAGAAAATATTAAGCCATTGTCGATATTCACACATCTAGTAAGTGGAAGAATTAGGCTTTGCACCTGGGAAACTTGATGCCAAAGATCACATTTTAAACCACTATATTGTTTCCTAGGGGATTTCAAAGTCACCGAAATTCACCTGCCTAATGAATACGGAAGAGAAAATGGAAATCCAGGGAGGTTAAGAAGCTTTATAAAAATCACACAGTAAGTGGCACATCCCTTCCTACAGCCAAATCTCTCAGGGCCTTATGTCATGTCCCTTTTATTATGATTTTTTTGTTAATCCTCACTTCAGGATATTTTTTTCCATTGATTTTTAGAGAGAGTGGAAGGGAGGGAGGGAGGGAGGGATGGGATAGAGAGAGAGAGAGAGAGAGGGAGAGGGAGAAAGAGAAGCATTGATGTAACATAGGCTGGTTGCCCAAGAGGGGCTGGGGATGGAACCTGCAACCCAGGTACATGCCCTTGATGAGAAACACTGGCCAGGGCTCATGTCTCTTCATTCATTCATTCATTCATTCATTCATTCATTCATTCATTCATTCATTCACTGATTCATTCATTCATTCATTCACTGATTCACTTATATTTTTTTGTTAATTCTCACCTGAGGATATTTTTTCCATTGAGAGACAGTGGAAGGGAGGGAGGGGGAGAGAGAAACTTTGATGTGAGAGAGACACAGGGATTGGTTGCCTCCTGGGGAACATACCTTACTCATGAAAGGCACTTTATTTTGATACAAAGTTTCTTTTTCCAGTGTTTACCTCTCTCAGCTAGCATTCCCAGAGAATGCTGCTCTTACATCTAGGGAAGAAGTGAAATCTTACAAACATGCTCAGTGTTCAGAAAATCAGCATCGTTAGTGAATCTTCATTCAAGATAAAATCATTGCATTTTCCTCAATAACAGGGACTTTCTTTCTGCTTGAATCATAAAGCATTACATCATTAATCTTTTTATTTAATATGCCTGTGTTGGTTGGCGCAAAGCATTGTGGTTTTCTTTTTTTAATCTAAATCATTTATTGCCATTAAGTTACAGCATTTCAGAATACACACTGCGTGGAAATAGATACTTTTTCAGACCCTGGTGATGAGACTTTACGCACGTGGCCAGCTGTTAGTTGTCTCCTGGTCATCCAGCGGTTTTCCGTTTATAAGGTGAACAGTGCAGTGTGGTCTGGTTGGGAATGTGTGGCCTATGCTGCCATCTAGCGGTGCTTTGGTGCTATTACACTATGAGGAAGATGGCTTTAATGTCACCCACTTTCCTCTGAAGCTGAGCAAGATTTTTCAAATTCCCTGCTCCTGTCACAACTGATTCAGTATTTTAGGCATGAAGCGGGAGGGGAATGAAAGAGGGTGGTAGAAAGGAGAGGCATTCTGCTGGGGCTCTCTAATTCTGGGAAACCAAAGAGGAAACACCATCTCTGGGTGAGAGCCAGGTGTTTTGGAGGGATAGGAAATGCTCCCTACTGGCTGGTCTGGGCACAGACAGGTTATGTTGTATTTCCAGTGTACCAAAGCCCACCCCCAAAAAAGAAGGAACAGAAAGGTAAATAAATTGTGCAGTTAA